CAGGTGAAAAGGAGGAACCCAGACCCAGACCAGTGGTCATTCCATATGTTGAGGGAGTATCAGAGAAACTGAGACGTTTATTTTCTAAACATAACGTCCCAGTGGCTTTTAAACCCCAAAATACATTACGGCAAAGACTGGTTCATCCCAAAGATCCAGTCCCCTGGCAGAAACAGAGTAATATTGTGTATGCTGTTCAGTGTCAGGAGGGCTGTGATCAGTCTTACATCGGGGAAACTAAACAGCCACTGGCCAAAAGGATGGACCAGCACAGAAGATCAACATCATCAGGCCAGGACTCTGCAGTCTACACTCATCTCCAGGCCAGCGGTCACTCTTTCAGGGATGAAGATGTTCACATCCTGGACAGAGAGGAACGATGGTTTGAGAGAGGAGTAAAAGAGGCCATCTTTGTGAAAAGAAATCGTCCATCATTAAACAGGGGTGGAGGCCTCCGGGTTCAACTGTCCCCCTCTTACAATGCTGTGATTGCTAGTATCACTCAGCCCTCTGTGAATAGTAAACAGCCATCAGTGTGCTAATGATCCATTGTTAGGCTGATGGTCCTTCTTGACCATGTGAGCAGCTGGTTTTGGTTGTCAGCAGCAAACTGGTTGATCCACCCTGAGAAGGTGCTATTTAAGAGACTGAGCTGAATACAGCTCCTCAGACTGAGGAAGTCTCTTGGATGAGAGACGAAACGTTTCTATATTTTTTTGCTTTGTTTGGTTTTTTGGTTTTTTGAATGTCCAGAGGACCAGATTGAACTTTTTTTGGATATTTCCCTTTTTCATCTTTATTTGATTCAACATGATTTTTGTCATTCGCATCCCATGTGGTGCATGAGGTAGAACAAAATTGTGTACTCAAGGTCCCAGTCACACCCAAAAATATCAGAAATATAAAGTAAAAAAAGAAACAGCATACAAGGATCTAAAATAAACACTAAACAATGATGTAATATAATGTGTATTAAACAGCAGACTGAATACGTTTGTTGTGAGCAGATGGGTATGAATATAACAGCTTATGGTAAGAAATCAGCAGCATGGATAATCTGAAGCACAAACTGCATTACAGTCATTTTCCTGGTTAGGGATTTTTGAGTCTAACAGCTTCAGGGTAGAAGCTGTTCCTCAGTCTAGTGTTTATACTGTTAATGCTTCTCAACCTCCTGCCTGAGGGGAGTGGGACAAAAAAGTGCTTGTGCTGGGTGAGTGGGATCCTTCATGATGCAGGTGGCCCTACCTGCATCTTGATGTGTAGATGCCTGATGGTGGCAAGTGTGACTTCAAAAGTTTTCTGTGCAGCATTCACCACTCTCTGCAGAGCTTTCCTCTCTCCAGCTGTGCAGCCCCTGTGTCACATGTTGATGCTGGAGCACAGGATGCTCTTCACTGCACACCTGGCTGTAGAAGAGGAGAGGACTGAGCTTTGTGATGTTGCCCCAACTGAGGTTGTCATTCAGGTGCACATCCAAGTACCTGTAACTGGAGAGACCACTTCCACTGCAGATCCTCCCTTGTTGTTTTTTTTTTTTCAGTTTACACCGTAAAGCGCACAGTAAAGCTTGATGAGAATAAAAATAACTCCAGGTTCCTTTTCAGTGCCATAGCTAGTCTAATGAAAAATCCTATCTCTGTTATGTAGGTCTATCCCTACAGCAATGAGTTCATGAGATTTTTTATAAATAAAATTATTTCAAATAGGGAAAAAAAATTAAAACCAACCTTCCTAGTATCGCCTCTGGTTCCGTGTCATATGAGAAAACTTTAAAAATGTCACTAGAACCAGATTTATTTTTGGACTGTTTTTGTCCTGTTGAGCTCTCTGAATTGTTAAAATTAATAGCTTCATCCAAATCATCCATGTCTGCTAGATCCCACCCAGACTATTTAAAGACATATTCCCTTTAATTAATAACCACATCTTGGCTCTGCTTAATTTGTCTCTAATGAATGTTTACGTACCACAGAGGTTTAAGATTGCTGTAATTAAAACTTTACTTAAGAAACATAACCTTGACTCAGGAATCCTAGCCAACTATAGACCTATATCTAATCTAACTTTCATCTAAAAAATACTAGAGAAAATAGTTGCAGGTCAGTTGCGTGAACATCTACAAAGAAATAATCTGTTTGAAGAGTTTCAGTCAGGGATTAGAGCTCATCATAGCACAGAAACAGCACTGGTGAAAGTTACTAATGATATTCTCATGGCCTTAGATAATGGACAGGTGTCTCACTGCAGATCCTCTTATGTTCAGGGGGGTGTAGGTGTGTTTGTTCCTTCTAAAGTCCACAATCATCTCCATTGTCTTCTTCACATTCATGTGAAGGTTATTCTCTGCACCAGCTCCATTTGTCCATGAAACCCAATGAATCCAATCAGTTATTAGACTACAAGCATGTCTTAAAGACATAAAAACCTGGATGACCCTAAATGTTCTTCTTTTGAACACAGACAAGACTGAGGTTTTAGTTTTTGGACCTGAGCACATTAGGAATGCATTTTTCAGTCTTCCTCCCTCCTTAGCTGGCATTAATCTGTCCTCCAGCTCTAATGTTAAAAATCTTGGTGTTATTTTTGATCAGGACATGTCTTTTATCCCCCACATTAAAACGTTACTAGAACCACCTTCTTCCACCTGCGTAATATCACTAAAATTAGAAACATCTAAAAAAGATGCAGAAAAACCGGTCCATGCATTTGTCACGTCTAGACTGGACTATTGCAATGTTTTATTATCTGGATGTCCAAATACTTCTTTAAAACGTCTTCAGTTGATCCAAAATGCTGCTGCCAGAGTCTTAGGTCGTTTTCACACTAGATAGTCCAGTAGACTTGGTTCGGTTCGGGACCAATATTCATGAGCTTTTGTTTACATTTGAGCTGGTGCGTTTGCATTCACACTGCACTGTGCAGTCGAGTCAACCTGTTGAACCAACCT